GAGCAATCTATAAACTGAGCCGAATCCCCAACCTTTAGCATTTTTTAAATAAGGGTCTGGAGAGAAGAATCCGTCTAAGAACACTTTCAGGCCAGGCACAGTGGCACATGCCTTTAATGCCAGCACTTGGGAGGCAGGGGCAAGCATATTTCTTTATGTTCAAAGGCAGCCTGGTCCACACTGTAAATCCTACTACAGCCAAGGCTATGTAGAGACCCTGGCTCAAAAAAAAAAAGAATAAAAATAATGTTTGTTCCTTCTCCAGAGGACCCGTTTGTTTCTCAGCATCTGATTAGTCCGCTTACAAACTTCAGGTACATGGGATCTCACACACACACAAAAAAAAGTTTTTTAAAATTAAAAAATAAATGAATGACTGCTCATCATCAAAAATTTAATTTGCTCCCTTGTAATAAAATACAATGACATCATGTCTATATAGCCTAGGAAATATAAAAGTAAAGACAGGGCCATATATAATGAAATGTATATGCTTGTTGAGCAAAAGTATGTTCAATAATGTTCACAGCTACACAATTCATAAAGACTCCAACTAGGCACGGTGGTGCTGCATTCTGTTGCTAGGGAGGCTGACTCACAGCTTCTTCTACTTGTTGCTGCTATGTGAGAACAAACAGCAGTGTGCAAGCTTGTGTCTACCCTGCAGAGTTCATTCATAATCTGGTGAAAAAGGCCGACATCACTGAATCAAACACACATGCAAGTTTACAACTGTGATGTCAACCCAGAGGCTGGTTGAAGAGGTCAGCTTAACTGGAGTAGGAGGAGACAGGAGTGTCAGTGAGAGACTCTCTGTGGACATATAAAGAAAGCTGCCAATTGAACAGCCTGGAGTTAGTTAGCACGCGAAGGGGAAGAGCATTCCCAGTTTCGGGAACAGCATCTGGTACTGTGAGGGGGAAGGGGGGGGGGACTCATGCATCTGAATCCAACTTAGCAAACAGGGCATTGGAGGCATGTCCTGCTTGTTATGAGTTAGTTCAAGGAGTGAGCTTTGCCCCAGAGCACTGTGAAGGAAGAGGTAGGGGATGGTGTGCTGAGAGTTGAGCCTGGCAGAGCTCACTCTGGCTGGCAGAGCAGTGCTATGGGACCAGCCTTTCTGTAGCACGTTTAAAAGCTATCCACTGTTAATGGCACCTCCCCTCCTAGTTACAATCAGAACTGTCACCAGACAATGTCAAATATCCCCGGGGACAAGATCACCCCTCCTGGGCTAACTGCCAGACTGCCTTTGTTTGACTAGTTTTCTTGGTTGATGCCTTTATCTCCCTTTACCCAAACACACGGAGCCATGCAGTCTTGATTGACTGTGGTGCCCTTGCAGATCACACTTAGGGCTGGCTCTTTGCTCACTCACTAAAGCTTTGTGTAGCTAGGGGTTTGATGTTTTTTAGAGAACCACTCCTGAAGAGAACGTCATAGGAGTAATACTCCACCCAGTATCTCCAAAATTTACAAAATGTATTCCCTATTTAACAGGGCTATTATTGTAAACCCTGCTAACAGCTACCTAGTATGATCCAAGCACTTAAAAAGTGCGTAGTTATAAACCGGACATGGTGGCACATACCTGTATTCCCAGCACTTGGAAGGTGAAGGCAGGAAGATCAGGAGTTCAAGGCCACCCTGGGACACATGAAACTGTCTCAATAAAACAACCGCCATTAGCAAGAATAAACTTTTGTTCTCATCTGTCAAATGGGAGAGTTATCTGTTAGAATTGGCCTTATGAGGGACTGGAGAGATGGCTCAGCAGTTAAAGACTTCATTCTGCTCTTGCAGAGGATGAGATTTCTGCTCCCAGCTCTGGCCAGCAGCCCACAAGCACCTGTAACTCCAGCAACAGAGGATCCAACAACGTCTTCTGCTATCCTCAGGCATCAGACACATGCATATACATAATTAAAAATAAACGTAGGGGCTGGAGTGACTCAGTGGTTAACAGTACTTGGTACTCTTACAGAGAATCTATCTAGGTTCAATTCTCAGGACCCACATCAGACAGCTCACACCAACTTTTCACTCCAGTACCAGGGTATCTGGCGCTCCCTTTGCACCAGGCCATTGCATGTAGTACACATACATACATGGACAGACACATACACATAAAAGAATCATTTAAATTTTAAAGAATTGGTCCTTTATATAGATTTGAAGAATTTTAACCAACTTGTTTATTCTGTATCCCAGGCTGGCCTTGAACTTCTGATTATCCTGCTTTATGCAGTGCTTCCAACTGAGCATATCCTACTTTGAAGCTCAGAGTGATGTGAACCTCACTTTATAGCCCAGGCTGGCACTGAGCTGCTGGCAATCCAGCCTCTTGAGGATTAGGGCTGCAGGTGTGACTCATCACACCCAGGGGACTTTATTATCTTGCAGCAAATTGGCACAACTGTTTCAGAGATGGAGCTGGAATCCAACAACACTCAAGGTTTCTTTTTCCTCATCTCACCCTGCCTCCTTTGTAAGGCAACTTTCTGGGGTTAGAACCCTGGAATGGGAAACGTGGCAGCATCTTCAGCTTTCTTGAGTTGGCTCTGGCTTCCTTCTCCCTACTCTCCTGGGTTGCTATACCTTATTCAACATGTTGCATACTGCTAGGGTAGGGAATTAATCCCACAAGTTTTTATTCTGCCCACATCCTAAAAATTCTTCAGCACTCAGAAAGCAGAGGCAGGTCTTTATGAGCTACAGAGTTCCAGGAACTCTATGAGTTCCAGGCCAGTTACTGTTTCAGTCAGACCGTTTAAAAGGACACTTCCTCCCGCAGTGGGGGCTGCAGACTGTCCACTGAGGCTTCCAGCTGATTTCAAATCCAGTTAACTCTCAACCACCCCTCTGCTGCTGCCTTCTCCAGTAGGCCAAAGGATCTCATGCCACCACATCATCTTCCATTTCTGTCATCCATTCAAGGTCCCAAGAGAAAGTTGATACACCTTTAGTGTCATCTTGGCCTTGTCACTTAACCTCTCAGGTTCAGATGATGTCTCGACTTCCTCTTTAAATGAAAAACATGTACTTTTTTTTTTGAGACAGAATCTATGTACCCCTGACTGTCCTAGAAATTAGGCTGGCTTTAAAGTCACTGATGTATACACCAGACCCTGCCTCTAAAATGCTGGGATAAAAGGAGTGTGTGATCACACAACTGGCTATAAATGCTTATCTTTAAATTCTGTGTGTGTGTGTGTAATTTGTAGGTACCTTGAGAGGCCAGAGGCATTAGATTACTTGGCCTGTTCACAAGTGGTTATGAGCTACCTGATGTGGGGTCTAGGAACCAAACAAACTCTGGTCCTTAAAAGTGGCATTAAGCACTGAGCCATCTCTCCAGGCCTGAAAATGTAAGTAAACCAGAATGCTTAAAAATTTGTCATGTTGCTGGGCAGTGGTGGCACACGCCTTTAATCCCAGCACTTGGGAGGCAGAGGCAGGCAGATTTCTGAGTTCGAGGCTAGCCTGGTCTACAGCGTGAGTTCCAGGACAGCCAGGGCTACACAGAGAAACCGTCTTGAAAAACCAAAAAAAAAAAAAAGTCATGTTAATTCTGTTAAGACTGCTTTGAATTTAAAGTAACTGCCATCCATGGTGACAACTCCAGTGATTAGTCTTGCTGTGCTGGGGAGAGAACACAAGACCTCACACGTGCTAGTGTTCTATGTAACCACATGGCTGGCCCCATGTCTTGGTAAGAGAGAAAAAGTTAAACTAGGGGCTCAGAGGTAAAGGAGGATGTTGTCCAAAGTTGAATTCCCTGGTTTCTAGAGAATAGGAGTCCTCACTCCTGCAAGCTGTTTGGATATCCACATGATACTTACCTTCAAATAAATGTAAATTTAAAATTTCATAAATATGCAGAAACCTGGGCTCAGCATGACAAACAAGCCTTTAATCTCAGCACTTGGGAGACTGCAAAAGATAAAAGGCTTTGTGGATGTGGCAGTGCACACCTGTAATCCCAAAACCAGCCTGAACTATATCATCAGGATACTTTAGAAAAATCTCTCTACTGGAGGCTGTGGACTGGATTGCCAATTCCTAGTTCCCATGATTCCAACTACCAAGCATTAAAATCAGCCTATCTCAGGCTATCAGGGTCTGGAAGAGATGGCTGAGCAGTTGAGTACTATTCTTACAAGGACCTGGTTTCAACTCCCTTCACCCACTGTCCACACTCATAAAGAGCCTATAGATAGGCCTGGCCCACTATAAAAGGGGCTGCTTGCCTCCTCCTCTCTAGGTCTCTTGCACTCTTGATCCCTGTCTTCTTGTCCCTTCCCCCTCTCCATGTGATCATGGCCGGCCTCTACTACCCTCTTAACTCCCCTCCCCATGCCCTGAATAAACTCTATCCTATACTTAAATAAGAGCCTATAGAACAGTGGTTCACCACCTTCCTAATGCTGTGACCCTAATACAGTTCCTTATTTTGTGGTGGTCTCCACCCTTAAAAATTTCACTGCTACTTCATAGTTTTGCTGTTATGATTTATAACATTTCCCAATGGCCTTAGGCGACCCTTGTTAAATAGGTTCAACCCCCAGGTTGAGAACCACTGCTAGAGGGGCTAGGGATGCAGTTAGTTGCTAAGAGTGTTGGCTTACATGAGCCCCTGGACTCAGTTTATAACATACAAGGGATTAAGACAAGCAACTATGCAAATGTGTTGGGGCTTTTATTGAGAGGGCTGTTGGGAAACCCTGCCATAAAAACCTGGAACACATGTAAAAACAATTCCAGTTGTTCTGACCTTTACTAACACTATGTGGACACAATCTTCCAAGTTTAAAACAACAAAAAACCTTTGTAAGCTATGAGCATTAGGACCCAAAACCAAGACTTCTGCAAGAACACCAAGAACTCTTAACTTCTGAGCAATCTCTAGCTCCTAGGAAACAATACTTTACCCTACAGAAGCCTTATAGGTCTTATAGGTGACAGAAAAATTCAATACTTTATAAACCAGAACAGCAGTCTTAAAGGTTCTAAATTTTATTTCTGGACAGACATCTAATTTAAACACAAGCAAGTCTCCAGGTTAAAAATGTTGAAATCCATCTGGTAGGGCTGACCGATGACCATAGTTCAGTATAAACCCTCAGTCTTGTCACTGTGTAAATCCTTACAGACCCAGCTTCGTTCTCCTCCAGTGTCTTCTCTTAGAGTTGTACCTGTACAGAGGGAAGTCACCAGTTACAAAGTGGGTTGGTCACAATATAACTGCTCCTTTAGCACAGACTATCTTTCAGAGGAACAGGACAATTTAAAGGACTTGCTGGAGCATAAGAAAAGGATTTGCAGGCTGTAAGTTCCAGCCAACCAGCATACACACACAGTAAGACTATCTCTAAAATAAAGAATTCTTACACATGTGCAGGACCCTGGGTTTAGTCATCCATTTCAGGGCTGTACGAGCTGGGACAACCTAGCTTAAAACAACACATGCCGATGCCTGGGAATTACAAGTGGTGCCAAACTAGAACTCACAGTAAGGCAGGAGAAAGCAACTCCAAATTGCAGAGCTAAGCCAATCAGTCTCGGGAACTGTCCATGTCGAGGTGTCATGATTTTTACCCCAAGAAAAGGCAAAAATCCACATCAATCAACATGGTTTTTCTGTCAGCAGGATAATGGCAGTACTCCCACAAAATGAAGCACTGTAATTGCTACCTGCTTTTGAATTTAAGTTTTCAAGTTGGAAGAGTAAAGGTTGGGGTTAGTCCGGTGACAGAGCACTTGCTTAGTGGGTAGGAGGCCCTGGCTCAAACCCTAGGCCCCATGAGAGCCAAAAAATAGGCAAACCTGTGGGTTAGGGGATATAATCCCCTCATAATCTAAATATTAACTTTCAGTCCCCAGGCTTGTTAGATATGGTCCTAGGAAAAGTGAAGTCTATTATAATATTTATAATATTAAATAATATTTATAAAGGTGGCACATACCTGTAACCTCAGCACTTGGGAAGTGGGAGTAGATTAGCCAGCCTGGGCTAAACAAAACTAAGCATATAAAATCTGTTGCACTTAAAAGTCTCTAAATGAATGTATATATAATAAAAAGGGCAGCACCTGCCATACCAGGAGACAGAAGATACCAATTAACTCAAATGTAAGGCCAGAGTGGGTTGCTGATTACCAAGCTTAATGCCTAAATTAACTATCCCACAAACTGTCCTCTGACCACACGTGGGCACGTAGCCCCCACAATTTCTCCCTCTCTCAAAGGCTTCAGACAGAAAGAACTCAGACATTTCCCTTGCCAGTGGGAGGGCCTGGGTTCAATACCTACCACTCCTCAAGGGCCCAGCTGGTCCTGAGTTCTAAAACTAATTCAACTTTGGCTACAGGAAAGAACAATCTCCTGCCAGGATGGTCAAATCTCCTTAAGTATTCACAGGGAAATTAGGAAGTGAAAAAGGTCTGCCTCATGGTCTACCTGTGACCACACAGAACCCAATGAAACATTTCTAAAAGGTTTGTGGAGGGATTTCAGGGGCTAAGGTAAAGCCACTACGGAGGAGCCTCATGACCGGAGTTAGACCCCCCAGGACCCAACTGGTGAATGGGGACCACCCCGAGTTGACCTCAACCACGTGCACCCACACACACACAAAGGCAAAACAAAAAGAGTTGCACAGCACAGAGAGGCTGACTTGGGGGGCATGTACTTTGCAACTGTGTATCTACAGACCCAAAGTTGAGTAAAACATTAACGAAATCCAAGCAGGACAACAGAAGTCTTACCTGATTTTGTTACCAGTTTTCATCCGGATCCACTGAGGAATTGGACGATTTTGCTTTTGTTTCTTGGCCAGGAATCGCTTGATTCTGAAAGTCTTGTGAGAAGACTACGAGGAGATGGAACCAGTTCAGTTGAGCCTATTCTTTGGATTCAGTCTCAAATTCCCAAAACTAACAACAGGCCCATAAAACATACAACCAGGAAAATCTCCCCAACCGCGAACCACGAAGTCCTTTTATCCTCACCGTTTCTCTAGTGGAATACAGTTGATGGCTTAAACATGTCTCAGATAATTACAGTGCCAGGTTTTTAAGCCTATGTCCTGTCTGACCTACAAACTGCTGTGCTCCAGGTGATCAAATATGGAATAGCTACAGTAGGAGAGGAAACTGATTTACTAGAACGAGGATGGCTTTAGATCAAATCCTGGACAATCAGTTTTAAGTCAATGACTCTAGTTACTGTACTTTGTAAAACAGTTGTATCTACCTTCAAGTGACATTGCTGGGTATGGAACCCTTGACATCAGTAGGCAAACACCACTACATAAAAAAGGCAATGACTGATGCGCTGTTAGCAGACGCTTCCAAGGAGTGATGAGCTAACTTCTGAAGGGATCTCAAAGTTCTGTTAACCCTTACTGTGGACATCTCCCTGTGCAAGTAGCGCTTCATGCTCTTCACAGGGACAATCTAAGAGTGGACTGACTCCCTTTCTGCCCCAAACCCTGCAGAGCACCATCAGCTCCAGGATATGTGAAACAAGAATATTTTACAGCCCTTGCCAGGCTGCAAGAAGAGCAGCCTAATCCTGCAGGGGCAAATGGACTTGCTAATTTCATGCAGCGCCCGCGATCAGATAGGTGGCCTAGCTCCCAAAACCACTAAAACCCTGAAAATGCACCCAGCTCTCAATGCTGAGCACGTCCACCACAAAGGCACAGCGGCCTCTGGCCTCAGGAGAGCCGCCTAGGAACGGATGGCGGCCGATTGTCTTACCATGGCGAGAAGCCGAATCAGGCGCAGTGCGCACGATGGCGGGGGTAAAGGAGAAGAGAAAGGCCAGGCCGGAAGAACGCGATTAGAAGACGCTGCTAGAGGCGGAGCTTAGGGGATTGACTCCCCCTCGTCTTCCCTAGCTCCACCCCTGCGCTCCCATGGGGCCGTGGGAACCCACACAGGTTTATAGGAAACGTAATTCCGAGGCCTCCGCTTCCATTCATGTCCCTGCAGGTGATCATCAGAGTCCTGGGGGGCACAGTCTTTGTGGCCATGGTAAGTGACCTTCAGAAGTAATCAAGTAAAAGCCCTTAGCAAAACCCGGGAAATGGCGTAGGCGGGACCAGCTCTGAGGAGGGCAGGAAAAGGCCTTCATCACTTCCGAGAGCTGCAACTTCCGCCCCGTCTTTGAGAGGGGCGGGGCTTAGTTTGGAGGATGCACTCTCAGAATGGGTGGGAGCTAGACCGAGCTGCAAGTTCCTTTGCCAGCACCCGTATCAGGCAGGTCACAACCCTCCAGCTCTGGGGGATAACATGTCTCTGGCTTCCAGGGGCACCCACACTCATGATTTACAGGTACACATCCCCATGTAAACACACATGGACACATAATCAAAAGTACCTACAAATATTTAATTAAAAGGGAGGCGGAGCAAGAGAGATGGCTCAGCAGTTATGAGCACTGACTGCTCTTCCAGAGGTCCTGAGTTCAATTCCCAGCAACCACATGGTGGCTCACAACCATCTGTAATGGGATCTGATGCCCTCTTCTGGTGTATCTGAACACAGCTACAGAACTCACATACATAAAATAAATAAGTAAATCTTAAGGAAAAAAAAGAAGACACCAGGCGGTGGTGGTGCACGCCTTTAATCCCAGCATTTGGGAGGTAGACGGATCTCTTGAGTTAGAGAGGTCATCCTGGTCTACACAGTGTGAGTTCCAGGACAACCAAAGCTATACAGAGAAGTCCTGTCTCCGGGTGGGGAAAAAAATCACATATACCAGGCCAGGGGAATCGTTGGTAGATAAAAGGACCAGTCATGCAATCCTGACAACTATAGTTCAAGTATCAAAAAGTGAATGAACAGGGCATGGTGGCCTACACTTTTAATCTTAGTACTTGGAACAGAGGGAGGAGTATCTTTGAGTTCAAGGCCAGCCTAGTCTATATATTGAGCTTCTGGACAGCCAGGACTATTACATATAGACCCTGTCTCAAAAAAAATAAAACTAAAGATGCACTCATGTGTGTCTGCAACCCTAACATTCCTAGAGCACAAGAAGAAGTAGAGACAGGAGAGAAACTCCTAGAAGATTGAGGGCCAGCTAGCCTGGAATACTTAACACAGCAACAGAAACAAGGGAAACCCTGCTTCAAAAAGGTGGAAGGTAAGAACCAATTCCCTTTGGAATTGTAAAGAAAATTGGAATTGTGTAAATAAAACAGAAAGTCAGGTATAGTTGTGTACCCCTATGAGGCAGAGGCAGGAGGATCATAAATTGTGCGCCAGCCTAGGTTATACCTTACCTCAAAAAAGTAAAATATACAAAGAGCACAGTAAATAACAAGAAGCTGAAAACTAAAGATAATATCTATGAATATCATAAAAAGTTAAAGATTCCTTTTATCAGTACCAAATTATTCTCAGAACTACCTTGTCTATGTCCTTCTGGGGGGAGGGGATCAGTTTCTGATGTGGAAGGGCTGAGAAGCACATGGTTATCCAAGCCACCATTTTTCACTTCCTCACAGATATCTAACACATACCACCCTCAGCTCTGGAATTTCTCCTGTTTCCCTTAGCTTCACTGCTCTCAGCAGAGCAGCTAGTTCCACATGGCCACAGCAACCTGAAAGCTCATGTGGTGTCCAGTGCCGTAGGGTCAGTGCCAACACAGAAGTACTCAGGCTCAGACCCATGGAGGTAGTAATTTCCTGCAGATGGACAGTCAAGACACAGTGGTGACTGTCCAGCCACTATCCTATGTCTTTACAGTCCAGAGTGTGATTAGATAGCCACTTGGTTGCTATGGGGTAATAGGCAAATCCCACCACTAAGTTTCCAAGCAATTCCAGAGGAAAGAGATTCTTGCTATTCTCCCATCTGCCAAAGAACAAGAAAAAAAAAAAAAGAACAGAAGCACATTTTTTTAAAAAAAATTAAAGGCTCAGATACTAAACTGGGAATGGTGGTGTAGGGCCATCATAGTAATCAGGAAGCTGAAGCAGGAAGTCCTATTATTCAAACAGCCAAGGGTACAGAATGAGACCCCGTGTACATACATACACACATCTCTTTTTCTTAGCAGCTGCCAAATGTTACTGTTTGCTTACTCTGTGTGCATGTGTGTAATGTTTCTTCTCAAATTCTAATTAAATGATCTTTGAGCTTCAAAAACAATCTAAGCCATGCACAGTAGTGAGTCCCTTTAATCCCAGCACTCCGGAGGCAAAGCAGACAATCTCTGAATTCAAGTCCACTCTGGTCTACAAATCCAGGACAGCCAGTCTTTAAAAAAACAAAACTCACCAAGCAAACAAAAAAAGGATCAGATGTCCACTTTTTCTCTTGTCTGAATTGTCTCCATTCTGTCTTTAATTTCAAAGAAATTAGGAGCTGGGAGTGTAGCCCAATAGAAAAATATTTGCTTAGCACCAGTGAGGCTTTGGATTTAATCACCAGTACCATACAAATTAAAAACAAATTGCCATTAAAAATTAAATCTATACCTGAAGAAAAAAAGCAGATTGAAGTGGAATGATGAACTTTTTCCCCTTTACTTATAATCTTAGTCTAGCCTCTCTTTCTCTCTCTCTCTTTCTCTCTCTCTCTCTCTCTCTCTCTCTCTCTCTCTCTCTCTGTGTGTGTGTGTGTGTATGTATATGTGTGTGTTGCTAGGGATGAAACCCAGGGTTGTATACATGTCAGGAAAAGCACTCTACCATTGAGACACACCCAACTCCTGTTAGTTTGTTCTTTGTTGATTTGTCTTACAATGTAGTTCTGGTGGGCTTCAAACTCACTATATAGCCCAAGTTGGCCTTAAACTTAGTTATCCTCCAGCATCAGCCTCTTGAGTACCAAGCATTATAGACAATATGTCACCATGCCTGGCTCCTATAGGTTTGTCATAAATAACATAACATTATAATTTATGGCAGCAAAGGTGGAACATGGTGCACATACCTTTAATCCTCGAACTCAGGAGGCAGAGCTATGTGAGTGAGGCCAGCCTGGTGTACAGAGTGAGTTCCAGGACAGCCAGGGCTACACAGAGAGATCCTGTCTCCAAAAAAATATAAAAATAAAAACAAAAAAGTAGAAGTGGTGCTGAGGAAAATCCCTAAATTCGATCTACAGATAGAAAGCACATGAGGGCCCTGCTTCCTGCTAAACAGATGTTTAATCTTTTGGGAACTGATACCTGTTCCACAAACCAACATTTTCTTTGTTTTATCTTTACTTTCTTTTAACTTTGCAAAGATATTTTTATTGTTATTTTGTATCTGTGTGTGGCTATGGAGGCCAATCCCCAAAAGTTGTCTTTGACCTCTATACATTATGTTATGCGCACACAACTCCATTAAATAAATATAATAAAAAATAAAATTAGGGCTGGGCGGTGGTGGCGCACGCCTTTAATCCCAGCACTTGGGAGGCAGACGCAGGCGGATTTCTGAGTTCGAGGCCAGCCTGGTCTACAGAATGAGTTCCAGGACAGCCAGGACTACACAGAGAAACCCTGTCTCGAAAAACCAAAAATAAATGAATAAATAAATAAATACATAAAATTAGGGCTAGAGAAATAGCTCAGAGGTTAAAAATTGGTAGTACTATTTGGGAGAAGGTGGGGGTTGAGACAGGGCCTCTCTACATACTTCTGGATGTCTTAGAACTCAGGCTGACCTTGAAGTCACAGATATCTACCTGCTTCTGCCTCCCGAGTGCTGGGATTAAAGGTGCCTGTCTGCCTGGCCTAAACTGATCTCCAAATTCCACTCCCAACATCCACAATGAGTGGCTCATTGCCACTTGTAACTCCAGCTCCAGAGATCTGAGCATCTCTCTCTGGCCTCCATAGCCACACACAGATACAAAATAACAATTAAAAAAAAACTCTTTGCAAAGTTAAAAGAAAGCAAAGATAAAAGAAAGTAAAAGAAACAAAATGTTGCTTTGTGAAAAAGGTATCAATTCCCAACAGATTAAACATCTGCTTAGCAGGAAGGAGGGCCCTCATGTACTTTCCATCTGTAGTTAGAGTTTAGAGATTTTCCTCAGCACCACTGGGCAGCTTACAGGCCGGAGACTCCCAAACATGTTTTGTCTACTCACAGTCCTTCTCACACTGCCTATTGAGCTCTGATTAATTCCACTGGTAGTTCTGGTGGTCACTGAAGTATCCTGAGTTATTCAAGGACGAGGACTTGTCTTTTTCTCATCCTTGTCCCTAGGGACTGACACACACACAGTGAATAGTAAATGTTGGCTAATTGAATGAAGGAATGGAAGAAATCTGAAGGATTGGGGAAGTGGGCTTAACTCAGAGCTGGACAGGACAAGCAAGCATCAGAGGAAGGTGCTAACAGGAAAGCTGTCAAAGTTACTCAGCTGCTAACAGGCCAGAAGGGAGGCAGGCAGTGCTAGCTCATTACTGATGACTCCAGAGTAGCCTTTTTCCTAAGGCCAGCTCCCATTACCTCTATTTTGGCTGCCTTTGCAAGAATCCTACACTTATTCCCTCAGGCATCCCTTCTCTTGAATGTCTTCTAAATATATTTTAGTATTTCTTATATTTGAAATGGTCATTTTTCTTTCTTTCTTTCTTTCTTTCTTTCTTTCTTTCTTTCTTTCTTTCTTTCTTTTTGTTGTTGTTGTTGTTGTTTTTCGAGACAGAGTTTCTCTGTGCAGCCCTAGCTGTCCTGGAACTCACTCTGTAGACCAGGCAGAAATCCACCTGCCTCTGCCTCCCAAGTGTTGGGATTAAAGGCGTGCGCCACCACCGCCCGGCTGAAATGGTCATGTTTCAAGACCACTTGCCTATCTGTTTTAGTTCAAGGCCAGACTTCTATAAAGTTATAAATGCTAACTGAATCTATTCTCAACCT